CTGTCCCATAAATACATAAAACCAAGGCTCTGCTGTCTATGGGGATCCTGCCATCTGAGAGCCCTGGCCTCCTGCTTTCTATTGTTCCAGTAGCTCAGAAAGACCCCTGGTGTGGGAGGTTTGTAGAGTCAGTCAAGTCTGATGAGAAAAGAATCTACTGGATTCAGAACAGTTTTATGGTTTTGTGCTCACAGTATCTTACTATGATGGTGACAGGTAGATGGGTAGATAGATAGATATTAACTGAGCACTTCTTATGTACTAGACCCTGTCTTCCATCCTTTATACCCAATTCATGCTTCATCTTAATAAAAAAAATCTATCAGCTAGGCTTTATTTTCACCAAACAGATGCAAATGAGGCTCAGAGAAATCAAGGGACCTGCCAAAAGCCAGAGTGAAAGCACCATTTATATCAGGTGTGTCTGACCTCCAAGTCCATGTTCCACAATGTCACATGTGTAAGAGAGTTCAAGCTGGTTATTGACATTCTGGTTATAGAAGCTTCTGGAACCCAGAGTTTTCATGGAGAGACTACTTCTTTAATGAGAAAAGACAAAAAGACATTTGAGGTTTCCACCTAGAATTCAACCATTGGTAAGCCACATTTCACCCTTCAGAAATGGCACCATGAACTCTTCCCAGCGGGAGTTCAGGATACTCAACTTGGAAGTACATACAAAGCCTGGTTTGTCTGAACAATCCAGAACAGTGTTTCTTAATATTTTTCCCCTATTATCACTCCCCTATGGAGAAAAATTTAATTTTAAAATTTAAATTGGGGCTGAAGATGTAACTCTGAAGGAGAGCCTTTGCCTGACATGGGCGAGGCCCTATGTTCAATCCCCAAGACTGAAAATAAATAAAAAAATTAATTAATTAAAGTTGATTTATTCTTAACAGGAGAAATTAAACACAAATAAATAGTATTGTGTTAAGTATGTGTGAAATTTGGAGGGCCACAAACCATTGTAATACGATTTCTTTACCTCTAAAGAACCAATTTTTTCTCACTTGGGGATGATTTTCCCCCCAGTACCTAAATGTAGTCTGAATGCATACCCCAAAGTTTGTGAAACTCACTCTCCAGTGCAATAGTATGTAGGAGATTAGATCAAGAGGTCTTCCTCTTTTCTGAATGGAATAAAAGTCAAAGAAGTTTCACAGAGTTCTGCTGCTATGTGAAAACTCAACAAAGAGGACCTCACTAGACACCAAATGCTGGCACATGGATCTTGGATTTCTAGCCTCCAGAACTTTGAGAAATAAGTTTCTATTCTTCATAAATTATCCAGTTTGTGGTACTTTGTTATAGCAGCACTAATGAATTAAGATACATTGCCTAAAGATGCTAAGGGAACAAAGATTGTTTAAAACCAGTTTTGTCCTATGAATCAAAAGAGAGAAATGATATGCATGAATGACATATTCTTGGCTAGGATGAGGTCACAATGAAAACAACTAGCAAAAATTCAGCAGGGATGGGCTGGGGTTATGGCTCAGCGGTAGAGCGCTCACCTAGCATGTGCGAGGCCCTGGGTTCTATCCTCAGCACCACATAAAAATAAATACATAAAATAAAGGCATTGTGTCCAACCACAACTAAAAATAAAAACAATTTAAGCAGTTAAATATCCTTTCATCCAGATAGCCCTATATGTCTTAAAAAAGCAATAGCTGTCATTCCCTTTGGAACTTTGATGGGGCCAAAAGGAAATTACTTTCCCAGAATCGTGCTACAGGTTATTGCCATGGTTTGGAAGTGAATTTAATTTCCCTTCTGTGCATTTTACAGTTAAATTAAATGTTAATTCTTAAGCCAGTATTTCTTAACTTTGGCTGTGTGTTGAAATCACATGGGAAACTTTTACACATTATCACTCTCTGGGCCCCACCCCAACTAATTAAACTTGTATCTTTAGAAGTGGGGCCTCCCTGGGGAATCAAGACATGCACCCAGGCTAGGAACCTCTATAAGTCCTTGAGACAGGAAGTCTGGTTCATGACCAGCACATTAAAGTTTGAGAAGCACTGCACCAGATTGTATGTTCATGAGCTTATGCTATTTCAGGATTTAAAGTTCTAGGTGAACTGGATCAAAATCTTGATTTCAACATATTGCCAATGAACACTCTGTCACACGTGGACTGCTGTCCTCATAATGCTTGGGAAGTAAGTCCCAGTGCAAGTTGGTGTAAAAAAAGAGCAAGCAAAGTCAGGAGGGTCGCGAGTTCAAAGCCAGCCTCAGCAATGGCGAGGTGCTTAGCAACTCAGTGAGACTCTGTGTCTAAATAAAATACAAAATAAGGCTGGGGGTATGGCTCAGTGGTTGAGGGCCCTGCATTCAATCCCCAGTACTACTACTACTACTAATAATAATAACAAATAAAACATCAAGCAGGATGTATATGGTCATCCTAAAGAGCCCAGGCTAAGGAGAAGGAGGTAATTTGGAGAGGCAAGGTGGCAGATGATTAAGGTGCTGGGAATAACTTACTAGAATTCCTAGTATGTCAACAGTTCAAAACAGGTGGCTTGAGCTTTTGGTTTTTCCTACAACCTGAGGTCAGAGAAAGGAGATGGCAGGGGAGTATGTGGGGAACTTGCTGAGACCATGTAAAATGTGTACTCCTCATTCAGGGAATAGGAAGACAGACTCTATTTAAATATTCATGGACAGGAAATTTAAATGAGTGTGCTCAACTAAGATGCTTCCAAATTTCTGGTCTGACTTAACATTTTTTGACTTTATATCCTGAGGGAAAAATTATTTTCAAATAAATGTCATAGCTCTGGGCATTCTGGCCATTACTTAGAGGGTTTGGGGAACTGATTCAACCCTTTGATTCCAAATCTGAAGAGGCTCCATCCTGGGCCACACCAGCTTCACCATGCCGGGCCCAGTGGTGTACAAACACAAGAAAACTCCAACTTTCTAAACCACCTACCAACGGGAGCTCAAGAAGGCTTTCAAAATGTTTCTTTTCCTCCTGTGCTGATGTTTATCGCCCTCTCAGTCTATGGGTGAAGCTATTTACTGGAAAGGTGAAATAGAAAAGCATCCCCACAACCTGCAGTGAGAATATTTATGAAGGTAGATTACTGTTAGGGAGGTTTCCACCCTCTGGGTTTAAAGTCAACTGATGTAGTTGAGATGTCTGCTCAATTAGCATGGCAAACACATTTTTAATTCCTCTTTTTGTACTTTTAGTGAAAACATATAAAGGTGACATTTTCTTCTTTGATGTTTCTGTTCACTTTTATTTTAAAAAATTAGTTTACTGAGAAAATTGATAAGTGAGCTTGTGGAGGTGCAAAATGACCGTGCTGTGAGTGTAGAGCCTGATGGCTGTCACCTGAAGATGCCTATGACTGAAGCAAATGAAGTGGAACACACCCAACTCGCCTGTGCTGAGCACACTGTAGCCCCGGGAGGAAGGACAGAACTACTAGATAAGACAGCAAACCACAGGGGTCCACACCAGCCAGCAACCCAGACTAGGCAGTTGAAACTCCTGGCATCTGATACCCAGTGAAAAATTCTAGAAGATCACAATAATGATGTTTCCTGAGTCAAAGGACAGCCTCATCTGGTTAGATGTTAGATAAATAGACTTTCTGTCTTATAAAACAGTGAGTCCCACAAAGAGGCCTTTTCAATGCATGGGGACAAGGAAAGGAGTGAGCCATCCTAGACTGCCTCTTCCTCAACCACCAATCAGCTGCCCATCAGCTGAATGTCCTCAGCAGCCCAATCAACTAAACTGCTTCAACTGCCAATCAGCTGAACTTCCTCAACAGCCCAATCAGCTGAACTTCCTCAACAGCCCAATCAGCTGAATTTCCTCAGCAGCCCAATCAGCTGAATATATGCGCTTCCATAGCAGGAGGGTCACAGGTAAAGGTAGGTATCCCAACCCTAGAGCTGTGAAACAGGAAGGGCCAACCTCCAACAGAGGCACTCTCAAGCTCCTACAGTGGGTGAAAAAAATGTGCTGCTTTCTTCAGGTGAAAGACCCAACTGTCAGGGCTTGTGGGTGAGCTGGATCAAAGCTGGGACTCTGTTGAGCATCTGTTGGACATGCTGCATAACTATGTGGTAATGCTGCCAGCGTCTCTATTTTTTTGGTGTATTCAATGGGGATGTGTTCCAAGAAATGTGTCTTTATATGATTTTGTCATTGTTAGAACATCATAGAGTGTACTTACACAAACCAAGGCAGCTATGATGTCAGTAGGCAATATAATCACATGGGACCACGGTTGTATATGTAGTTGTCCGTTGACAGAAATGTCGTCATGCAGAGCATGACTGTATTTGGTCTCTCTCTCAACAGCTCTTACAGCATCACAGCTTTTGCTCGCTGCCCATTGCTTTCTACCACCCCTGTTCCTCACCCTTACAGAGGCACACTCTTGTGATGGGCAGGAAGGGGACCGAACACAAACTCTAGAGTTCCATTTATTTGAAAATAATTCTTCCCACAGGATATAAAGTCAAAAAATGTTAAATCAGACCAGAAATTTGGAAGCATCTTAGTTGAGCACACTCATTTAAATTTCCTGTCCATGAATGTTTATTAAATAGAGTCTGTGTCCCTGTTCCCCAAATGAGGAGTACACGTTTTTGCATGGTCTCAGCAAGTTCCCCACATACTCCCCTGCCAGCACTGCTCTGAGGAAGACTACACTGGTCCTTCTGTGCTAATGAACTTGGACTTCATATCATCAATACACTTTCTGAAAAGCAAATTTCCTGTGAGCATGCTGGGGGCTCATAGTACAGTGATGTTGGGTGGGAAATACCTAACAATGAAGGCCCTTGGGAATGCACAACGTGTACTTCTTTTGCAAGGAATTTGACTATAGAGAGAAATCTCAATTACATTTTACAAACTTAAGCAAAGCTCAAATAATCCCCCCTTTCCAGTGGCTTTCTTGCTAATGATGACCACCCAAGTCATTCATCTCTTTCTCCTTTTTTCTCCCCAAATGTCCTAGGAGGAGTCTGTCGACCCCAGCACCCAAGACAGTGCAGCTTCTAGCTCCTCTCACACACGGCTCTGGCTCCCAGCCATGATTTGGCTTGTCCTGCATGTGCTCTGTGGACTGTTGGCTCAGCACACAGACCTGGCTGCTGTCACCCGAGAAGCTACGTGATGCTTTAGACAAATAATGAAGTGTTGTGTGGATGACCTGGCTCTGGAAGTCTTGCTTGAGTGCTCTTGTGTTCATTCTAATGACTATGGCTTTCCTGAGAAATTGGCAAATAACAGGCTGTCTAGTTTGGTGAGCACCCTCCGCCCCCCTTTAATGAGAGGCACCCACATTTGAGTCAAATGACTGAGGGAAAAAAAGGAATCAAAGGAACCTCACGGAGGAGCTGAATGTGATCTCTCAAGCAAAGCTAAAATCTACCCCAGGAAATTCCAGCCCAAATGAGAAACTGGAACTGAAAATGTAACCTGTCTTCGAATTGGCTAGCTGGAAAACATTTGTCATCAAGACAGGCAGTGAGAAAGATTAAATTTTTAAAATCTGCCAAAAAAGCAGGAAAGAATAAAAATCTGATTTTTCCTGTCGCTTTGCCTGTTCTTACAGGACTGTTTGCTTTATTCTCCATATATTTTCTTCCTGTGCTTGAGAAAAAGAATTTCATATAATGAATTACATTCAAAACCCCTAGAGAGCCTGTGAAATAATAACATTTATAAGTTGGAGGTGAAAAATGAATAGCAATTGAGTAAACCCACAGTCTTTTTTGAGGGCTCTTTTCTAATCCGGAGCCCCCGGGGTTGATCCCAAAACTCAAAGGACTAATTCCAACAACATAAAACAGGGACTTTACAAAAATAATGTTTTAGTAAGCACCTATCTCCTCTACCATACCAAATATGACAGCATTTTTTATAGCATATAGTTATAGAAACTCTTTTCTATTAATATTAATTGATTCCCCATCCTGGATCACTACACTCTGAAACTTGAATGGAGGAAAGGATGGAAAAGAGAGCTCATTCATTGCCTTGTTTGCATTCTTATCTTTTTTAGGATTAAAATCTCTTGAAATTCTTGTTTTACCTGTATTTGGTTACTATAATATTATTATTTTCCAAACAAAATGCCAAGGAGTAGTGATATTTATATTTAGATGATGATGACGTTAGTTACTATGTGCTACCACTTACCCTGGCATGCATAAGGCTAAGTTTATGTTCATTAAAATAAGACTGTGGGATCAGTGGTAGAGTGCCTGCCTTGCATACATGAGGCCCTAGGTTTGATCCTCAGCACCCCTCTCCCCCAATAATAAGACTATGAAATAGGTATTACTCATAGTACGAGGAGGCTGAGTCTTGGAGAACTTATGATGTTTTTAGAAAAGCCAGGATTTGAATCCATGACTGGCTGGTCCCCCCATCTGTGCTTTCAACCAGTCATCCAAACTGGCTGCTTCTTTTAAAAATAGAATGCTCCCTAAATTAACAGTAGGAAAAAAAGAACTAGATCATTTACAATTGCCCAAGTTAAACCTCACAGGCAGCCTACCTTCACAGTTCAAAGATGAGGGCAGTTTGGCATGGGCAAACATTTTCAAAACATTAGAGCTGGTGGAGATTTCTGCAACTGATCATAATGTAATCAATCTAACAACACACAAGGAATTCTGGGAGACATGATCTCTAAAAAGATAGCTTCATCAAATAACCATATTTAAATGAGTTAAATGTCCATGAAAGAGAATCACCTTCTTTAGTAAAAAGTTTTAAAAAAGAAAAAACTGTTAACTAATCCTCATAGAATTTCTCTTGTGTAAAACACACTGGACTACTTCACATCCATGAAGATGGATATATCAGAAACCAGACTATAACAAATGTGAGGATGTGAAGAAGTTAGAAACCCATGCACTGCTGGTAGGCATGTAAAATGGTACAGCTGCTTTTAAAACCAGGATGAAGGTTTCTTGAGTTAAAAATAGGATTACTATATGTTCCACTGATTCCAACTCTCAAAATAAATGGAAGTACCTGTGAACAGATACTTGTACACTGAAGTTCACAACAGCATTATTCACAACAGGTGAATGGTGTAAGCAACCCAAGAGTCCATCATTGGATGATAAAGAACATGTGGTATGTACATACAATGGAATAGGTTCAGCCATAAAAATGTGGAAATTCTGATACATGCCACAACATGGGTGAGTCTTGATGATATTAGAATAAATGAAACTAGTTTTAAAAAGACAAAAACGGTTAAGATTCTACTTGTACAAGGTACTTCAAATAGTCCAAATCAGAGAGGCAGGAAGCAAGAGGGTGGTTAATTAACAGAGGCTGGGTGAGGGGGCACATTGGAAGTTAGTTGGGGAATTTCAGTTGGGGAAGAGGAAAGAGTTCTGGAGACAGATGGTGGTGATGGCTGTACAAAAATGTAAATGTACTTAATGCCACTGAACTGTACAATTAAAAATGGTCAAAATGGTACACTTTATGTTATGTATATTTTATTACAACTAAAAAAAAGAAAAAAGAAGAAAAACCTTTGCTGAATGCTTTCAGCTGGAGCAGAACCTCTCAAAGGATACTGGCTACAGGGAGAGAAGTTAGAGTTTATCAACCTCACAAGGCGGCAGGCTGCATGAGAGGGCCTAATCCACACTACAGTAGGACCCAGCCAAAGAGGAAGTGGCTAAAAGGCTTCTATAACTTCCTCCTACTAGCTGCCTCTTAAGTCTAGACTCAGAACTCTGGACATAAACCTGACTATGTTAATACAGAGTCTGGTTCTCGAAGAAGGCAGACAGATTACCAATTACGTCTCAGACTTTGACACTTGGGGCTATGCATCAGGGACTGTGGAATGTGTTGGGGTTTATGTAAAACAGGACAAGTTTCCATCCCAAGCTTCAACTTTTCCATGCAGCAAAATGGAACTAATTATTACTATTATACTATTAATTTTTTTCTGAATTGTAAGTTTTTGTGTGTACAAGTGTGGGTAGTACTAGGATTTGAACCCAGAGTCTTGTATGTGCTAAGCACATGCTCTGCCACTGAGCTATACCCACAGCTCTGATAGTATTATTTAAAATAAAAAGATAAAAGTCAAGATTTGGTTCATAATTGTAAACTGCCAAATGGTTGAGTTGATCTTTCAGAGCCATGGGATAGTGGGAGGCCACAGAGAGGCACACAAGTCCAACCTCAGGTACACTGGTGTGTCTGCAGGTTGACAGGCCTCGGTTTTACCATCTTCTTTTTCCTGATTGACAGCTGTCAACATCAGGAGAAGGTTCTAGACTCTGCTTCTAATAACAGCCCAAAGAGGCCCCCTTATATAGTACCAGGTTCATGAAGGTGAAAAGGAGACCATCTGCAATGATTCCCTTTCCTCCCATTCATGAAAGAGACTCACTAGTTCTGAACACAGGACAGGACAGTGAGGAAAGGACACTCTGGGATCAGTAATCTCTTTTGCTACCATTGCAACAATCTGAGTAACCCCTGCTCTGTGGCTAATCAGCTGCGCTTATCACTTAAAAGAAGAAGGAAGTAAAATGTTCTCAACTTATCCCAGCGAGGGAGGAAACAAGAGAAGAGCAGTTGGCTCAGGCGTACTTGCTTCCACTGGAGACAGGCAGGACGGGCTGAATCATGGTCTTCTCTGATGTGGAATGTGAACTGACCCAACAGGTAATGCAAAATGTTTCAAAGTGACAAACAATTCACTAGACTCAAGCCAAGTTTTGCTCAGTGAAAATAAGCTGCAACTGTCAAGAGATGTAAAAACACTCCTCCTCTGATCTTGTTACCTGGAGACTGGGGGGTCAGTGGTAGAGGAAACACAGCAAAACAAGGAGAGGATTGTCCATGGAAATGATCTATACTGTTATTTATGTCAGCAAACAACTGGAGGTGATCTAAATGTTTGTCTCTGAGGGAACATTAAGGAAATGATGATATGCTCTTTGGAATTGTAAAAGGTACATACGTGTTCATAGAATTTTTAATAAAAAATGAAAAACTGTCATATTCAGTTAAATACCTTTAAATGTGTAATATCATACATACAGTATAAGCCTAAGGTATAGTTTTAAAAACGATGTGATTTAAATAATAAAAGATGGACAGTAAAGTGCTAATAGAAAAGATGTGGAAAGGGCTCACACAAAAAGTTCCACATAAACAAGCAGGCGCGGTGGTGCACACCTGTAATCCCAGTGGTTCTGGAGGCTGAGGCAGGAGGATCATGAGTTCAAAGCCAGCCTCAGCAAAAGCGAGTCTGTTGCTAAACAACTCAGTGAGACCCTGTCTCTAATGAAAATACCAAAATAGGACTGGGGATGTGGCTCAGTAGTAAAGTGCCCTTGAGTTCAATCCCCAGTACCATCTCCCCCCAAAATAAAAATAAAAAGTTCCATAAAAATAAACTGTAAACAACAAATAAAGATAAGAAAAGAAGCTTGACTTCATTCTTGTAAAATAAACACAATTTTTAAAAAAAGTCACCTACTGGACTGGATTAGAGGAAGATGATGATGCCTAGTTTGGACAAGAAGATGAAGTAAAAGGCACTCTCATTTTTTGAAAGACTTTGGGAAAAATTATCAAAATTTAAAATGTGTACACACTTTGGGTGTGGTAGATCTATAACCAAAAACCTATCCTTCAAATGTACTTGTCCAAGTACACAAACATGTATGTAGAAGAACCATTACCATATACTGTTACAGCAGAAGAAACAACAACAACAAAAACCAACAATAAGGACAAAAATCCCACCAAAAACAACAACAACAACAACAAAACAACAAAAATATCCATCCACAAGGGAATCGTTAAATGAGTCATAGGACAGCTCTATAAGAGAATAGTAAGCAGCTGTAAAAGAATGAGAGAGATTACTTTGTATTGATATAAAAAGAGGATCACAATAAATTAAGCTATCTAGTTACAACATAAATCATATGGTATGAACTGTATAAATACCATCTACAGGGAAAAGAGTCCACAATCTCTGCTGGTATCTGGGAACATGCATTAGAATTATTAAAATTGGGTCCAAGCAGATAGGGTATAATAAGGTTTTTAGTTTATCAATGACAAGTGTAATTACATTTTTCTCTTTAATCATTGAAGTACTATCAATGCTCAAACTTAAAAAAAAAAATTAGAAGTCCTGGTTTCAATCCCCCTCACCAAAAACAAAACAAAACAAAACAAACAAAAAAACCACACGCACACACGTACACACAAAAGAAAAAAACAAAAAGAAAATAGTAGCACCTATGTTATATTTCAACTAAAACAGAAAGACCTTGAGTTTTGTTAGGCTAAACAGAATTCCCATGCCAAGCCAGCCATGGAACTCTGAAAACAATCCCTGACTTATTTACCCTGTGACGGACTTGAAGGAAGTGTAATGAGATCTAACAAATTCCAACTACACCTGAAACAGATTTGCAATCATCTTTATTTATGTTTCAACTCTTTTGATGTGAGTTTTCAAAATAACATGTGTTAATGGATGGAGCCTGTAAGGTTCCCCAGTGGCTGCTCCTTCCTGAATTTTCCCT